TTATTTGGTTTTACATGTAATCGTATGGGGAAAAATGATTCACCTTATGACATTTTCATGATACGATCTCAGTTTAGGAACAGATTAATTTCTTATCCTGAGGTACTTCTGTATTCGTTTTTCCTTCAGGCACCACGGTGTAAGAACGGAAGTGTTTTTATTGCATATATCATCTTTTGTCTGAGTTTTGTACAGTACATTTCAAAAAGAGAGACCAGATTTTATTCACCAGTTATTAATTTACATGAAACTTTTTTATTTGTGCTGTATCATAGTAAAAATATTTCTTTGTTCTTATAGGTGTGAGTTTTGAATGAAATAATAAAGATACCAAACAATTATCAGAGAAAAACTAAAAAGTAGGGTCAATGTGGATAAACATGAGACACTTTTCAAAACTGATGAATATTTAATCTTATCTATTTCTTAAATCTTATCTATTATTTCTTATCTTATCTTCTAAATATCATAGAGCAATGTTTTATACAAAAATGTCTTGCATTTAACCTGTAGTACCTCATTATTAATCTCCCTGTTGGCATAGACAAGTCCTTATGGTGATATAATGGGTGTCTCATTTTTCATCTCCCAGTGTCTCTCAGTGTATGAGACACATTGACCCTAGTTCATTTACATTAAATCAAACTTTAATGCAATTTATATGTATTCCCTTGGAGATGGACATGACAAGGAAGGACAGAGGTAACTATAATGATGAAACAAAGGCTACCAGACTGCAAGTCCATTTTTTTTTATTTAATTTTTAATATCATGTATTTTTTGTCTGTTTTAACTAAATTTTAATTCAGAATTTGCAAATTATAATTTTTTTAAGCCAAAGGCAGTTTATTAAAAAGATGTCAGTTATTCTTTAAACATTACCAAAATTGTTTACATTTTAGTTAATGCAGTTTCATTGTCTGAAAAGGTTTGTTTCAATAACATGTAGGCTTTAACTTCTTACTTACAAAATTAACAAGTACATACAACTGCTTCATTAATTTTGAATGAAAGGAGTAAGAATATACAGAGTGGACCAAAAGTCACTTTACCGTGTAAAAATTAAATAATGTTTTTGCTATTATTATATTATATATCTTATTTTTCAGATTTTTAAAATACGGAATTTGAACATAAATTATTGGTAAATTAACGCCAGAACAACATGCAGCTGTTAAGGCAAATTTTCGAAGAAACAATAATTTCTTTAGTGTTATAAAGTGACTTTTGGCCCACCCTTGTATGTTAACAAAGATGATTAGATAAAGTACACCACACCCTTTATGTTTGAATTCTTCAATACTGATGTCCACAATTATTTATAATCAGAAATTTATGCACCAAAATTTCAACCTTTATGAAAGGTTTTGACCTTTTGGGAATTATATGGAATATTGTTAACTGGAGTTGGCACCTGCTCAAACTGGATGTTTGAGTAGGTACAATGCTAAAAGATCACTGCGCTCGCTTGTTTACATAGTGTTTGTCATAAGTTATGTTACTGTTCTGTTTATTTTTTTCTTTTGTCTTAAACAAAATGATAATGCATTGGCTGCTTTTGCCAGTGATAATGATGTCTAGGTTAAATATGACAAGGCCCAATTACTATAACGTTGCAATAACCCTGCCAATCTGAAATATCTTGAACAACTGGAAATATTTAAAACATGTGGGAGGGGGACAGAAATTAATTTTAAAGAAATGGACCCATTAGCAGCCGGTTGGAGGGCATGCTTTGACATGCAATAGATTTTAAATTTAGTATTTTTTAAAAACTGGAAGTCAGTTTGAAGTCTAATTTAACCTTATTAAATGCAACATTGAGCAGGCATGTATTTTCATGATGTGCAACTTTTTAAAAATGTTTGGAATTTGCGTTCTTTGGACAAATGTTCCATTACTTCGAAACCTGAAGATGACCATTGAAAATGGATGAAAACATTCGTTTAACAATTAGTTAAATTGAATTTTTGCTGGTTTGATGATAATTGCATATTTTGTTTTAAATAAAATGACTTTTACACTATAAGCCATTGCACAGTATATTTATGTAATAAAACCATTCATTTTTCTGAAAATTTTTAAAAACAGCAATAATACATAATCTTGGAATGAATTACAAATTTAACCAGTTTGGTAATTGTTTTCCCACAAAGAAAATTGCTGGTGTAACAAATTAAATTTATTGCTATGTGTAGACCATTTCGGTTTATTTTTCTTTAGGTGCAGCATGTAAATCAGAGGGGTCAATTCTGAAATAGAAGTGTTTGAGTTTTTGAAATTAACTTAACTTAGTATTTGAACTATCCAACAACAGGGGAATCAACACACCAGCTGGAGTATTACTGATTACTAGTCACATCAAATGGTAACGTCTTCTTGAAATCTGGACAATGTTAGGACATTTCCAATAGGCAATTTGCACTGTCCGTGCATGAGTGACATAAAAAATAAGCAAGTTAACCTATGAATTGTAACCATCAACATTGATACAATGACTGGATGAAACCGAGAACTGTGGCAGGCCTTCAGCTGAAATGCTGAAGGCCTCTGCCACATTTATATCAGCTGCATCCGACAAACAACGTGGAGAGGAGTGAAGCTCAGATCAGTGAAGAGTACAAGCTTTATTACAATGGTGAAACCAGTATTCAGAATGGCATTGGGAATTGGGATCATGATCAGTAAAAAATAACGGGATAATATAGTGAAGGTGCACCAAATGTCAGGTCATCAAAATTGAGTCTAGCACAACCACTCCCCAGGTGTCCATATGCTATGCCCCCAGACAGGATACACTGTGGTTGAAAAGGACAAATTCTGGGAGAGATTGGACGTTTATCTATGAACCGTCAACCATGAAGAATGTCTGATATTGGAAGGTGACCTCAATGGTCATGTTGAATTACAACCAGTACTATGGAGGAAATGGGTACTGCATTTGTAATGATGATGGAAACTGTATCTTGGACTGCGCCAAAGCACGTGAACGTGCAGTGACCAATATCTTTTTGAAGAAAAGATCAACCCACCTTATCACCTATGCTAACAATGATCATACTACCCAAATTGACTACTTGCTCATCAGAAGATGAGACCTGAAATTGATGCAAGATGTAAAAGTGATTCCTTCAGAAGCAATCATCTGTCAACATTGGCCTCTCATCATGGACTTTAAACTGGACATTTGGGGCCCAAGGTGGCCCCAATTTACTGGAGCAGAACAAATAAAATGGTGGCACTTACCAGATTGCAATGCCCAGCTCTTAGATGCTCTTATTCCTATACAAGTTGATATGGATCGACCAGTATTAGCCATTTGTGATGATTTGGTTTGGCAGGCCCATGCTGTGGCATGTACCATCCTTGGGAAGACCAAGCTGAGGAAATGAGCCATTGACAAGCAAATTTGGTGGTGGAATGAGGAAGTACAAATGGCTTTGAAGGAGAAAAAGAGAACACTGAAGCAGTGGTTCTAGACAAGTGTACTGTGGCAACAACTAAAGCTGAATACTATGGCCATATATACAAAGAATTGGACACGCTTGCAGGGGAAAAGAAAATTTACCATTTGGCCAATACACATCATCAAACCACCCAGGTCATTAGCCAGATCAAGCATGTGAAAGATGAACACTGCCAGCTCTTGTGAGATCCACATGCTATCCTTTGTCTGTTGACATGAACTAATAGTAATTTGGAAAAATAGAAAATGGACAATTTCTAAAATGGAAAAATAGTCACTCTAGTGACTATTAAGAATACAGTAGAGTGTCGTTTATCCGAAAGTTGGTTATCCGAAAGAATTCCAGTCGGCAAATTTTAATTTTCGCTAGTGCTGTGGCGCTGCAATCTTTGGCTATATCTTGGGCTACTCCAATATTTTTGTTGTTGATGTGTTTTAGCTGGCAGCACTGGCACTTTTGTGTGTTCTTCTGAGGACTGTGTGTCATGCCGAATCGAACGTTTTTGATACTAGATTAACTTTTAAAGTATAATTTTTTTGTTTTTATATTTCTTAATATATTTATTTTGTTTGTAAAAAATAAAGAAATAATTTTTAATGATACAATAGCCACGATTATTATTTTAAAAAGTTTACATTAGGCTTAACATCGACGAAAATTCAATATGAAGCGACACGCGATGGAGAAAAATTTCAACATGGGATATTTTTTCATACATAATTGGTTATCCGAAAAATAAGTTATCCGAACAACCGCAGTCCCCAATTGATTTGGATAAATGATGCTCTACTGTAATAGTCACTAGAGTGACTATTTTTCCAAAATTGGCAATGAATGATGTAACCAACCATCAATTCAGAATGCTGACCCAGTCTCTGGACCAGTACCCCAAATCACCATTCAGGAGGTTGAGGAGAGGTGAAGAAGATGAAAAATGGGAAGGCAACTGATCTTCCCATTTTTCATCCTGGTGGAAATGTGGTAAACCCTTGGCCATCAGGTTATTGCAATCCTCACTGATCTTTTTTAACTGGATCCAAAATGAAGGGGTTGCACCACGTGCTTAAACAACCTGTACCACGGTGCTGATCTGGAAGAGTAAGGGAGATGTAACTGAATGCATGAACTACTGACTAATCTGACTCCCATCATGCCATGAAAGAATTATTGAAGCTAGATCTCACAGCATTTTTACCATCTCCCTGATTCAATGTGGTTTTATTAAAGGGACTGGAACAATGGATGCAATATATATTGCCTGGCTACTTTTGGAGAAACACCATGAGAAGGCCAGGCCTATTCACATGATGTTCCTTGATCCGAAAAAGGTCTTTGACCGCATGCCATATGAACTCATCTGGCATGCTTTATGATCCTACAGCATCCCAGAGGCATACATTCAATGGATCCAACTGCTTTATCACAATGTCACCAGTGCAATCCACTGTGCATTGGGAACATCACCTCCATTTGCCATCAAGTGTTGGAGTATATCAAGGCTCAGCCCTTTCACCCCTTTTGTTCATCCTGTATATGGATACTGTAACAGCTGATCACCAGGCACCTCATCCTTGGACACTACTCAGTGCTGATTATGTCTTTCTGGTGAATGGACAGCATCATGAACTCCAACAACAGAGAAATGGAATTGGCTTTGTGAGTTAGGGCTCTGACTGAACATCAAGATGATATATAATATGCAAGAATGCAAGCCCCAGACCATTTTGCACACCGAAAGTAGCATGTTGGTTCCGTCCACAGTTTGTTATACCACTGACCACAAGGATTGGTTTTTATGAATAAATTTATCAAAATGTTTATTTCAATTGTTTTTTGCAGTGTTCAATGTCAGCTTACTGATGATTTTGGTCATAAATTTGGTCTACCAAGATCCCAAAATGTTTTCTATAGGGTTGCAATCAGGAAAACAAGCTGACCAATTCATTTACTTTCAAACCACTGTTGAAAGCTTTCCATATTCTTTAGGTCTTCTCCACAGATATTGAAACCATCAATATCTGTGGAGAAGACCTAAAGAATATGGAAAGCTTTAGCTACTTTGGTCCCTCATTTGCAGACAGCATCCCAGATTCCCAGGCCTAGGTCAATGCTGCCTGGATAAAATGCCGCCATGTTTTATTATCTGATCTCGAGTCAAAAGTATATAGAACAGTGATATGTCTAGTCACCCTCTATGGATCAGAGTGCTGGCCGGTGACAAGACACAAGCAAATCTTACATGTAATGAAATGTGGATGCTCTGATGGTGCCTTGGCTAACATGATTTGACCATGCCATAAATGAGGACATGCATCTATGACTTGGGTTGTGCCAATTATGGCAAAAATGCATGAAGGACGACTCAGATGATAGGGACACATGCATGGCCAGGATTCTTTGGTAGCAAGAACTGTTCTTGCTACCAAAAAATCCTGATGACCACATGGCATGCCTACGAAGCATTGGATGGATTGATTAGAGGACATGCAACACATAAATGCAACCCCTTGAGGATGCTTTGGATCAAACCAGATGGAGACAGATGTGCCAAACAGAGGACCCTGCTACAGAGTGGAAACAATACAATGCTAGGTAGTGGTAGTAGTAATAGTAGTAGCAACATGTAAATAGGTAGTCTAACAAAACAGAATTATTAGCATTCTTTTTGTTATCCATTTACATACTACACAAAAGGAAAAATAACTGAAGTAAATGTGTAATAACATGTATCTTGATATCTGATTCAGATAAATTTCCTTTGATGTTTAGCATGTAAAACAATAGAATAACCAAACAATCCTAATAATGGAAATTTTAGCAAAATGGTTAACAAAACAATAAAATTTTCTGTGGATCTAGTGTGTAAATTAATGGTGTAACAAAATGGACTTGTTATTGTCTATGTTGTTATCCATATTGCTGAATTTTCTCTGTTTTCATAAAGACACATTTACTTTTTGTTGTTTTTTTTACTGGCCTAGCAAAACATATTTGAGTGTTTATTTTATTACTCATTTTGTTGAATTTTCTCTATTTTGTAATGACATATTCATGTGTTTTTGTTGTAGTTTCAAAACATGCCCTTCAAAAGCCCCAAGCTTTTTTTCTTTAAATTCCTAAAAGGAAATTCTTTCCCCAGGAGTCAATACAAACAGTTTACAACCTGTGCTTCTGTACTTCCTAACATTAGCATTAACATTTTGTGCATGCCAGTTGCATTCAGGTCACGTCATGTTCAAATGAGTAACAAAACAGAAAAGCACAATTATTTTTGACAAATGACAAGTTAGTTGTTTAATTGAATAAATCAGCATTAATAAACTTAATCAGAATACTATTATTATTTATTATATAATACATTACAGATAAATTTAATAGCTAAAGATAAGCAATAATTTATCTTTTTTTGAATATTTTTTTACACAAATTATAGAATAGAAGATTGAATGTATAATGTTTCTTATTTGCAGTGCTGTAACTGAGTAGATGCAAGAAGTCACAGGCACATGGTTCAGGACAAATGGATCTGATGTGGGATATTAAAAAATTATCAATATTTCATTTTCATTTCCAAATTTAAAATTTTTCTGCCATGGGAATTGATTTCCTGACATTAGTGGTCAAAGGGTTAAAAATGAACATTTTCATTTTTATAGTATTTCTTTTTCATTTCATTTCCAAGACTTGGAAGGGGAGGCAAAAATAAAATTTTGCACAAGGCACATGAAGAGCTATTTACAGCACTGGTTATACATAATCAAATCTCAATAATACAGTAATACCTTGACTTATGCTATCCCCACTTACGCGATTTTCAAATCTCGTCCATTCATCTTTTGTTTGAGCGCCAGGCAACTCTTGATTACTCACTCCCCCCACACTATTGTTCAGCTTACATGTTCGGACGTGTCGCGCGGAATTGACGCATAGCTACAATTTATTTTGTGTTATTTATTTCTGTGTTTGTTATATCTACGGAGACTCGAGAGACTCTATGTGGTGATTTCTTGTAACCGTGAACGAATCAAAAGATGAGATAAGATTAATGAGAACATTTATTAGCTTACATACATCCGATTTGTATTTCACACAAATTGTGAAATTATACCGACTTATGCAAATTCGACTTACACAGTTATCTCTTGGTCCCACCTATCGTGTAAGTTTGGGGTACTACTGTATTTAGATTGTCTTTCTTGCTGTTTTAGTAAATAATTAAAATTTATGTATTAGCTATATATTTCTTGATATTGATAATCTTTTTATGTACTATAAGCTATAATTTAATCTTTTCAATTCTTTGATAAATGTGAGGTTGTTTTTCTAGTTAATTCACCGAGATCTAGCTGCTCGAAACGTGCTTCTGGCAGAAGACAATGTCGTCAAAATTTGTGACTTTGGTCTAGCTAAAGATTGTTATAAATATTCGAATTATGTCAAGAAAGGAGATGTAAGTTTACAAAACATTATTCATTTTTCTTGTGGTAAATAGTAAAACTGTTTTTTTGGGATCTCCAGAATGAATTAATCAAATTCCCATAAAAGTCTATGATAAATTGATAATTGATTAAAGAACAATTTGGGTAGTGAACACGGTCTTGGAATGAATTATGATCTTTAATCAATCACCCACTGTAGATGCCAACACACAAATACATACACAGAATTTTCCCCCGTTGGGTTTAAGGGATCATAAAATGTAGAGATTTGTAAAAAAAAACCCATAAAGTCAAGTTTGACAAGATTCCATTACTTTTCCTTGTTAAAAAATAAATTACACCGATATAAATCCAGCAAAATTTAATATAATAAAAACGTTTTCAGTCGTTTTTCAACGATCATCCTTCAGTTACAAAAATAGAACATAAAATGCGTTCGAAATAAATACAAAAATAAAAATTAACGGAAAATGCCCTAGCGGACGAACTAATGAAAAATAAACAAAATAAACTAAATAAATAGTGAAAAATTAATAATTGTTAATAAATTAATAATTAATAAATTATTATAAAATAAAATAAAATAAAAATTAATAAATTAATAATTGCAACAGGATATAAATGTGCAATGGGATCAAGCATCAATTATAAAAACGATGACTAATAGGCAAACGATCAAACATTTGGAGAGGTTGGAAATCTATAAAGCGCACATGGAAACCGGTTGTATAAACCATAGAGATGCCGACTCATTGTCCACTTCGTGGAGATCCTTTTACAATTATTAAGTTTTCACTATTTATTTAGTTTATTTTGTTAATTTTTCATTAGTTCGTCCGCTAGGGCATTTTCCGTTAATTTTTATTTTTGTATTTATTTTGAACGCATTTTATGTCCTATATTTAATGTTCTATTTTTGGTAACTGAGGATGATCATTGAAAAATGATTGAAAACGTTTTTATTGTATTAAATTTTGCTGGATTTATATTGGTGTAATTTATTTTTCAACTTATTCTACTTCCAGTACGTTTTGGTTATATATTTTCCTTGTTATGTATACATAACAATTGGAAAAGTAAGTTACATTTCTTCAATTCTCAAATTCAATATATTTTTAAAATAAAATAAATTTGTATAATTGAATTTATTAATATCAATGAATCTTATCTTTTTTTTTCTGATAGGGACCATTACCAATTAAGTGGATGGCAATTGAATCTATTCGGGATAAAGTATTCACCTGCAAGAGTGACGTGTAAGAATATTTATTTAGTATAAAATTTTACTAATTGTAAAGTATTAAATATAAGAATTGAGATATAAACATCTCTAAGCTCGACAGTTATATTAATGGCTTTTAATATAATAACCCAGACAATTCAAAACAAATCTTTTTAATTCAGCAGTAATAATCATAAAATTCAATATCATTTAATAACTTGTTGTTTATGTTCACTTGATGCAACTTTATGCTACTGACTTCGTCACCAAATGATGATGGAATGTAAATGTGAATAAGAAAAAAAAATCAGTCAACCATGTGTTCTTCCCCATTGCTAATTACATTTTCTTATTGGACAAGTAATCAAGTCCATGCAAGAAATTTATTCTCAAGACAACACTGCACTGGAAACTTTCCAGTGCAGTCCTGTCTTCAGAGTAAATTTCTTGCATGAAACAAAACAGATAAAAATATTTATGGGTCAGGTCCCAAGAGTATGGCAGATGTAGAATATTTGCCCAGATGAAGTCTGAAATTGCTGTTGTGATGTTTGCCATGTATCTTTGTGTTAGCATGGGTGGCCAACAATTTTTGCCCCTGGGTCGAATTGGAAAGAAAACTTTTTTCACAGGCCGAACCAGAGGCTGCCCAGCAAGATTTTGAGGTGGTACGAGATTCCATTGTGGTGTCACCCCATAAAGACTAAATTGTACATAGAGATTACAGATACATTTTTCACATTACCATGCATCATCAACATTCTATGCTGTGCTTAAGAGATTTGCAATGGAGTATTAACTCTAAATGCATGCTGAGTTGTTGACCTTTTTTTTAGGTGTCAGAATTTTTTTTGTCAAGATTTTTCGGACTTGAGTAGCTAATTTTGAAAGATTAATCGTGGGCTGCATAAATTCATTTGACAGGCCGTATGTTGGCCATGTCTGTGTTAGCATGAATGGCTTCTGCCAGACAGTAACTTGATTACAATACTGTGCAGCAATGACAGTTTGATTGTAATAAGAAATTCATGGCAAATAATTTTCCTATTAGGGCATTAGCCACTATGAATTGTTAATCCCATCATACACATAACTAATTTTATCTTGTATGGATGATGACCAGTTATAGGATGTGGTGTTGCCTGCCTCTAGGCTCAGCCACTCTTTTTTGATAAGGATTGTTACCAATTAAATGGATAACAGAGTAAATTAATCTGCAGATGACCGTTTGGGACAAGAAGGATTGCAACAAGACAACAATATTAGCAAAGCAAAAAGGCACAAATTACAACACAGATTTTTATTAACATTAGGGAGAGACTGTGTGTTGTCACTAGGAGTAATGGGTGTCAAACATGTAAGAGGAACATTATGCTAGGAATGACATATTTTGATGTGTTAACATGATGTCATGTTTTGAGGCATAAAAGAAAAAGCTCATTTTTGTTTGAACAGTCATAATTAATATTTATAATATTAAATGCAAATATTCCATTTTTTCTGTTTTATTTATTTTATAATTATATCTACAATGAATTGCTAGTGGTAATAAAAAGAAAACAAGAAAATGTCTTGAGACAGTATCTTCTAAAATATATATGAACTAGCTGTTACCCGCGACTTCGCCCGCGAAAATTTTGCAAGCAAACCCCATTTATACTCAGTATTTCAACAACCATAGTAATTGTTATATAACACCTACTGCTGAGAATGATCAGAATTGCTGAGAATCAAACGAACTATTTTCAATTTGATCAATTTTCTGGAACGTTTACAATCGTTCTATAATTAAACCAATATGCAATAACAAATTCGAATTTAAANTTGCAAGTAGAACCAATATCTAGTATCTAGTTGGCATTAAAGGTTATATTTCATTTGTTTGGAGTCTTTCAATGGTAAAAAATTTATTTTCTAGGTGTTCTAGGCCTATTTTCTTAGAAAGCATGTAAAAGGATTGATTGTCATTTGAAGAAATTGAAGTTTTCAAATCTTCAATCACATATAGATTGTGCTAACCTTTTTGTTTACAAACTTTACTAAAATGATTTTTCTTTTTTTGTAGATTTTTCAATTTGCAAAATTACAAATTGTTCCAAAAGCAGGGCATTTCTGTTTCTGATGTGTTCCGCCACAAAATCTATAGTTGGTAACTGAAGGTTTATTGCATTTAGTCTTATCATTTAGTAAATTGTATTTCATTGATGCACCTCTAATGTATGCTTTTTTCTTTTAGGCATTCAATGTTTCTTCTCGTACTTTATCAGTATTTAAATTTTCAGCCTGTAATTTTGTCAATTTGTTACTTTTACATATTTCAATGGCTTGATTAACATCAATATCTTTAATGTGTAACATTTTTAATCACATAGATTGATATTGGGCATCTCTAATCAATTTGTTAATGCTCCAAAATTACACGTGGCTGATAGATTTTTAAATCTAGTTGAAAGCTGTTACTGATTCATTTTACTCTTGATTAAACATTAGAAAATTATTTTAGACCTGCCACTAAAGTCTCTAACATAAGCTTAATGTCATTTAACTTTTTCTGTAGATATATCATTAAGCCTTCTTTTCCAATATTTTATCGGAATGCTGCTAACCTGACTTTCATGTCCTTTGACTTCAAATCTGAAGCAAGTTCAAAATCTTCCAGAACAATCTAATGCAATCAGTAATGGGATGGAAGTCATACTAGCTACCATGGCTTATTTTATCTTCTTTTCAGTAGCAATATCTTATCCAATCAGTAGTTGACAGATATGCCACTTCAGTCAGTCACCATGTTTTGGCCTTTAAGTAGACTGAACAGTTAAGACATCTTAATAGCACTTTATTAATTCTAAAACAACTGGAGGACTGTCAGATTACAAACAGTTTAGCCAAATTCTGGTTAAAGCATATACATATAACATAATGAAGATTGTCCATTGTAGAGAGGGCTGTAATAGTTCTTGCATGTCATATATCAGTGAGATATTCTTGTAATCCGATTCCCATGGAGCGCTTAGTTGACCCAATGTAAATCAGGTCTCTCTCATATCTGTTATCCCTAATGGGGACATTATATATGCCAGAGAGCTTGTTCGAGTTGGGAGGGTCCTTCCCATTGCGCAGCATGTCAAAAATAGTCGGGTACCTCCTGTAAGCGAGACACACCCAGCATTTCCTGGCAATTTCGGTGCATAAGAATTTTAAGTACGGGTTAAAGATAATAGGGACCTGTTCTATGTCCTTGGATTGGTTATTGCTCAGCAGGTCAATTACAGGGATGTGTTTCGAGTGCATCCAATGATAACGTTCTATCAGCCAATGCGTAACTATGCACTCTATAAATATTAATTCGGCAGCAAGCGCCTGGGAAGTGGAAGAATGTGTAAAGGTTCTTCTAAGGCCTTATATGCCGCAATCTTTCAAGAAAATGGATGACATGGAACCCGGTTTACAAATACCTCGGTATATCCAAACTGCACTTTAAATCCATGAAGATGGTTATTAAGTGTACTATATGATGTGATATAATATTTTGTTTCATGAATTCTATTCCATCTTAATAAAAATCTTAATTTCAGTCCTTTTATAATCCCTTCTTCAGACCACTTTTTAAAAATTTATTTTGCACCGGTATTAATAATTTATCTGAATTTTTATTCAAAGAACAGTTTTATTTTTATGATTGCTTTCTTCAGTAATTCATTTCGTTAAAAGAAGAAATAACTTAATTTCCCAAAGTTATTTCTATCTGCAACAGTTATGTGATTTTGTGGTGGTCGAATTCCATCCATAGCCTACATCAGTGTTCCGCAACCGGTGTGACGTAAACTTTTACATATTCTATTAATTTCAAGTTTTATTTATATATTTTTATTACAGTTGTTTTATTTCTTATGCTTGTATTTTATTGACTGATGAAATAAGATGATGTTAAAACAATAAACACATATGTCGTCCCAGTACACACTCTTTTGGAGTTATACATTGGACTCACGCAGATCTTGAGCAACTCAAAATGAAAACAAGAACAACACTTACTAAGTATAAACATCATCATCCTAAATTCGCCATAGAGAGATTAACCCTTCCACTTAAAGATGGCGGACGTGACCTGATCGACATAGTTAACCTTCACTACAAACAAATACAGACATTGCGAGAGTTTTTCTTCAAAAAACAAGAAACGTCACAGTTACATAAAGTAGTAACTCTAGCAGATTCAAATAACAATCATTAAATTTACATTCACAACGTAGGGACATGGCACAACATATAAATAGCATAGACACCATTAAGCAATCATGGGTGCGAAAGGCACTCCATGGCGTCTGCCATGGAGTGCCTTTCGCACCCATGATTGCTTAATGGTGTCTATGCTATTTATATGTTGTGTCGTGTCCATACGTTGTGAATGTAAATTTAATGGTGTATTATTTGAGTCTGCTAGAGTTACTGCTTTATGTAACTGTGATGTTTCTTGTTTTTTGTAGAAAA